CTAACCTTTCAGCATATTGTAATTCAAGTGGTGTGAGAAGAAACTGGACGAATGCATTCAGGCTTTAGAAATTGTAGCTCATTGATGGGAGGCTTTGAACAACCACAGGGCTTCTGTATTCGGATCAGGTAATCAGGGGTAATTTAGACAGCTTTGGTGCCATAATACAGCTTATTATGACTCTGATAGCCGCTACTAACAGACAGAAATCTCCAGAGTGTGGATGTACTCACTGAGGTGGGGATATAGATGAAGAGAGAGTAGCCGTAGACGCACACGGTCTCCAGGAAGGAATAGCCTCCAATCTGCCTCTCAGCCCCTTGCCTCCACGTCAGGAAACCCCATAAACCGACGGGCACCAGCCAGGCGTACATGAAGATCACTACTGCAGCTATCGTGACTGCCAGGAAAAAAAAACTGATTCAGCGAGCTACAGTTACACAGAGACAAACTGATTCAGGTGAGCGTGTGGAGGACTGACCTCTGTGGAACTGTGGTCTGTAGTGGTAGTCGGGGTTTCCCAACTCGCTGAGGAAGGTGGACAGGTTCCCACTGATCGCTACTGAGAACACCAGCGTCACACAAATCCAGAACGGACCTACACAGACACACATTCATACGAGCAAGAATGAGGAGTTTTGAGTTAAACGCTAAAGTCACCCAGCAGAAGTATAATGACATCCTAAAGTGGCCCTTTAAAGAAGAAACAAATAGAACAAAACAGAGTACACAAACTTGAACTGCAGAGTTTTCTCCTTACGTTCCACACTTTCAAGCTAAATATTATTAGAATTGCTGTGAACACGGCTGCGTGCAAAACCTGTAAACTCAACTAGGCTGGCAGAATATGTGCAAACAAATACAATGACTTTCTCTTTCACATACACATGGATGCAATTTTAATATCAAGTAGCAAAATCCCCTGAGCAAACCTTTCAAACACCATTCTGGTTAGCTGGACTTTGTCTAAAAACACAAAAAAAACAGAAAATCTGACATTAAGATTAAAAGTTTGGACTGTTTTACTATTTTCTAAAGCGTAGAACAAAACTGAGGACATCAAAACTATGAAATAACACATAAGGAAATGTGTAGTGAGGAAACCAGTGTACAAAAAACAAAATGTGTTTTGTGTTTGACATCCTTCCAGCTTCGTGAGGTCGTCACCTGAAGCTTTTCCTTGAACGAGTTCCTCCAGATGCTGAACACCTGCTGGCTGCTGTTCCTTCACTTGAACTCATCCCAAACAATCTCAGCTGAGTGAAGGCCAGATCATCTAATGCAACACTTTACTTCCTTTTCTTTTTCTCTGCTTGATGATTTTTGCACCTCAAACTTTTGGATTTCTTGAAATTTTGAAGTCCTAAAGGAATGATTTTGTTTTTCTTTTGTCACACTTGTTCCTCTCTACATATCTCCATTAGTCATTTCATAAACCGGATGACAGCAGTTTTGCTCCACACTGTAGAAAATCTTAAAAAACCCTTGGATGAGTCAGTGTGTCCAAACTTTGAACTCGTCCTGTAAATCCTGTGTCATCATTTCTGTTGTTTCTATCGCTAGGCAACACCCAGCTAGAGCTTTTATGCTTTTCCAAACAGGAAAGTGGGATTAAAACTAGCAGCAAAGGTAAATTAAACAGCTGGTATTTTTAGTTTGATTACATAATGCAATTTGTCAGCGAGTGGCCTTGGAATAAGCGGAATGATTTGGTGAAGACGTAACATCCCATGACCATGACGGATGGAGTTTTGTGTGGGGTGCTTTGGGTGTTATTATACCTTATATAACTTCTGTGTCGTATCATCTCATTACAGAAGATTACTGTAAAGCTGTTCTTATAAGATGGATATTAAGAAAAAAAAAAAAAAACCTTCTGTCTAACCAGTCATGGTTCTTCTCTCAGTTTGGTATCTCCTGATTCTTTGGCCCTCTCATGTGCTTTTGTGGAGGCAGATATCAAACTAAAACTTGTAACTACATACATTATAACCCCTTAAAACACAATTATAGGTCCGGCTTTAAAATCATAGAAACATTTATAGTGAGAATGTATAATAACTGAACACCTCTCTGTTGGCTTACCGTATAGATCTGGGTTACTCCGGAGGTGGTGTTTAACAAAGTTTCTTCCAGGTAACGGCATCACAGACCCCTTAACCCTGTCCAGTACCTGCATCACATAATGAAGGGTCAAACAAGAGAACAATGCAACTTAAAACTGGCTGAGAAATTACAACTCTGGCTGTATGCAGAGTGTGGCTCATACCTGCATCGTGTCCACATTGAAGAAAGACTGATAGTACTCAAAGGTCCAGAAGCCGCCACTTGGTTTCTGTCCTCCTAGGAGCTGAGAGCACAGACGATTCTGTTAGCTTCTGTCCACTCAAAACATCATCGTGTCACACAAATAAACTTTTACCTCTGAGCTCTCCTCCTGACCCTCCTCATCCTCCGATAGGTCCAGTTTCACATCCTCTCCTCCTCCTGATGCTGTGGTGGGGGTGTTTGTGGCAGGCATGCTAAGTGTGGAGGCCCCCGGGTCTGCAGATAGGAGCTCTGCAGCTTCCTCAAACTCTACAGACAGACAGAGAAACAGGCAGCAGGTTGGTACAGTTGGTAGACACAGATTTAGATTGTATGCAAAACGCACAACTCTGCTTCAGATCTGTTTTTCTACTGAGGATAGAACGATAACTAATAAAGCAGAACACACGCCATAAGGACGCCTTTGTAATTATGTTTTTTGTATTACTGAGGTTGCACCCAGATCATTAGAAGATGATGAAACAAACTCTTAATTGCTTAAAGCAGACAACCCAACACAGTACTGGCCTCGAGACGTATTACTGCAAACCATGCCTCGCTTCAACCTGCCAAAACTGGTCGTACTGGTTTTGTATCCAGAATGTTCTTGTCATGTTGCATCAGTATTTAAACACTGTGTGTACGCTATGTTTAAAAGTTGTTCAAAGCCTATGGACAAAAGTAAGAACGACAAAAGCAGTCAGACGTCTTCCAGATATTCTAACAAACTGTTTATTTAGGATCTCTGAACATATAAGTGCAACACCAAGAGATGACCACCAGGTGTCACCATTCCTGCTGTATCAGAAGCTGTAAACAATGAATCGTTTTGAAGATACAGAAATGTAATAATTAAATCCTGAACCCATGACCCCCTTGCAGCAGAGCGATCTGGTGGCTCTATTAAGCCATGGGGGACGATTTGCTTTCGTAGTTTGAGCCCAATTGTCCGCTTAGAGAGGAGGCTCACTACAAAGATCTTTACCCTGTGATGAAACATTTTTATTCTGCTCCCTTCTGGGATGACAATGCCCCCCCATCTCCAGGGCACAAGGGGTCACTGAATGGTTCAATGAGTATCAAATTAATGTAAATCAGGTGCTACGTCCTTTACAGTCACCAACCTAATTCAATTCTCCACCACGATCATCATCAAAACACCAAAAGAGGGAATATATTTTGGAAGAATGGCGTTAACTTTTCCGGTAAAGTTTCAGAGACTTAGAGAATCAATGCCAGGGTGCTCTGAAGCTGTTCTGGTGGTACATGGTGGCCCACGGTCCTTTCTTTAATTTGTCTGTAATTGTGTCATAATGATTCAGCGCTTCACACAGTTAATTGATTTATTTGTCTGATTCCTGTGTGGTCGTAACATCCACTGCAGTTTAGACTTTTTGTCCTTTCCAGCCACATTAAAAACAACAGATTAGGGATTACAGACAGTCCAACTTTCTGGTTAATTCTGCTACAAGACCTTGATTTTTAGCTTTAAAACCTGGCATCCTGCTGTAATCCACCAGGAAAGCACCAGGAACAGAAAGTTTGCAGCTGCAGTATGTACCTAATGTTGAATTCTGTGATATTTACCTTGGAATTGTAGATCATTTGGACTGGCCATTGCTTCAGTGGACATTCATGCAAGACCTAAAAGACAGAGAATGAACATCGATGAAGAATGCTCACATGATTAAGCTTCCAGCAGAAAGGACACGAGATAATCAGTTAGCTGATATGTGGACCATGTGTTGCCAAACAGGAAACCAAAGGAAGCACAGTCGAATATAATATTAATGATCAAATATCAAAAGTAATGAAAACAAGCTGCCACATACCCCTGTGTCACGACCAGAGTGACATATGGTAAAAGAACCCACCTGTCCTCAGCAGGATGTTCCTGATGGTGATGGCGTGACAGTGACAGCTAACACTAGCTAGGCAAAACGCACACTGGCGCTCTTGTTTCGCATTTGTTTAAAGATATAAATGAAGCTAACGTAAATATGACACAATAACGTCTATGTAGGTTTAATAAACCGGCAGAAAACGCCAGCAACACACCGCCAACACCTGTCTTAAGTAGCTAACGTTACTGCTGCTGCGGTCAGGCAGTCGAGTTCCGGTACACGTCACCACGTAAACAAAGCAGTCACGTGGCCATGTCCTTAAAAATAACTTTATTTAAAAGTTTTATGTAGACAGAGCAATAGAACTAGAAAAAAATACTGATAGAATTAAAAAATGAATTATTTGAATTAAATTGAATGAATGAAAAAAAGAACGGTCTAGCTTTCTTAAATTAAATAAAATAAAATAAAATAAAATAAATAGCTACAGCTAAGACAAGGTTCAAAGTGAAGTTGATTTTAGCAGCAGGCAGCGTAATCACTAAACACCATTTCACCATATCTCCAAACATATATTCCCATAAAAAATTCAAACAAATGAGATTTCGTTACAGAAAAAATACATCCACGTATATTATATGTTGTTGTTTTTTTTTTGATTCATTGAATTTTCAAGAGACAGGTTTTCTTATCTATGAAAATCAAGAAAAGTGTACACGGACAATTATTGAGTAATATTTAACAATTCACATCAATATCTTGGTTTAAACTGATGTAGAACATAACATATAGAGTTCTTTTTTAATCTTACATATTCAGACATACTCTCTTGTAATCTATGGTAACAAACAGACATGCACTAAATGCAACTTGAATTTACTTTTTAATTTATTTATTTATTAAATTTAAATTATTTTTAAACCAAATAGCTGTTCAAGTGAATTCAAGCGGAACCTTTGCGAGCGCGAGCGAATCCTCTATCGGAAGACTAAAACCGAGTCACCCGCGGGCGCCATTTTGGCTCCATGTGAGCTCCTCCGTTTGACAAGAAGGATGTCAGGTTTTTGGTGAAGGTGACCGTCTTCTTCAGTGAATAACACCGGTCGGAATGGCTTCGTGGCGGGTGGCGAGGAGGGCGTTCTGCGCTGCGGCAGAAACAGCGGCTGCTCCGGTGAAAAGCAGCCGCTGGGAGAGACTGAAGAAGAGTAAAGCCGGTGAGAAACTGAGCAGGACCATGTTAGCTAGTTAGTGTGAAGTTACAGGGACACCGCTGGGCTAGCTCGGCTTTGACATGCAAGTTAGGATAAACATGAATTTATCCTGTTGCCCATCTCATTAGTAATATTATATACGGCGTGCGACTTTTATAAGATTCCAAATAATTTAATTGACTCTCATAGTCAGTTTAACGATATAATATCAGCCTCCATCTGCAGCAGGGGAGCCTCCAGAAATGTTTCATAGAGATGACAACATGGAACCAGTGGACATCTGAGGGTAGCACACAAGAACCAAAAACATTAACTGAGTTTCAGGGATTCTATGATGCTGTTGCAGCGAAGAGGGCATTTAAAAGCTGTCAATATGAGAACTAAGAACTCACATCTGCATGGAATAATGTCCATGTGTAATGATAATTGAACTGCAGCAACTTGTGGTTCAATAAAATGTGTTTTTAATGCCAGTTTTGGTAGTTAGTTTAATGATTATAGAGGTCCTGATTTATCCATATGCACAATAGTGGCACAGCTGCAAATATGCTGCCGTGAAACAGAAAAATCTGTCATAAAACACCCTGATCTGCAAAAAAGTGTTTAGACGCTAGTAAACAAGTCATTCTTTTACACTGACATAATATCCAGTTGTGATGGAGCTCAGGATTCAGCAAATGGTTTAATCATTTACTATAAAATCCTAAACAATCCTGCCTCCATGTCAGGGATATTTAGAAGTAATTTATTGAATTACAGCTGTGTTGTGTTGAGTGTAAATGCACACGTTTACTAAAACACTCCTCTCCTGCTTAGGACACATTTCATTCTGTTGATCTGTGATGCTGCAAGTATTTACTCAAATCAGAGGAAAGACTCCTAGAAACTTTAGCTCCCACCCCTGACAACTTAAAGCCCTCAAGCTGTGTACATATTTAAATTATTTTTCTTAAAAATCTGTTTTAATTGTGTGAAATCATCCCCAGTATTAGCTCACACGTGAGATCAACAGTTAAATATTCATCATATGTAATTTCTACAACACGCTGTATGTTGCTGCTGCTGTTGGTGCATCAGAAGTCATCATACAGAGGATTGTTGCAACATTTACGAGTGCAGATAAGGAAGTTTATTGTTGTTTGTGCCTCTGATAAAGGTAAAAAAAAGTATTGAAATTGAATTGATTGAATTGTCCTTGTGTGTGAATGTCATATTGTCAGTTTTGCAAAGTTACAGTTGTAGGATGACTTCTGACACACATCCGTCGACATGCAGCTCTTGTAGACCAAGTCCAGCTTAAGTTTCTTCTCTTCTCCTGGTTGCAGGCGTGTGGTGTCGCAGCATGATGTCTGACTACAAAGAAGCGTGCAGGGAGATGGTTGTTGGTGCCTGGGAGAAGCCGCTCAAAGCCTCAGTGTACGGGGCTGTGCTGAGCGGCGCCTTGGCCTGTTTCTACACAAAACCCGACCGCACGTCCTTCGAGGCCGACCTGCTGGAGCGCTCCAACCAGCTGGGCCTGTTGTCGCCGTGGATCCGCAGCGGCACCTCTGACGGCCACATACAGAATCTGGTGAAGCTCCGTAACGAGGGCCGGCTCCGTCACGCCAGCGTGGGTCTTCTCACTCTGATGTGGCACGCTGACTACGACCCAGACGCCATGCTGTATGAAGCCCAGTGCTCTAATGTGTCCATACCCTGGAGGGAGCTCCCTCAGAGGGTACTAGACGTTGGATTCGCCGGTCGCTGGTGGATCCTGGACTCAAAGATGAAGGACTATGATGTGAACGAGGCAGAATTCAAACACCTCCCAGTGCACATGCAGGTGACGTCGCCGCCCAGCGTTCAGGAGGTGGAGAAGAACGAGAGGTTACACAAAGAGTCCTGGTTACCGCTGACAGTCGAGGATGAGGAGAAGGAAACAAATGTGGTGGACAGGAAGGAGAGTGAAGTGAGACAAGTACAACCAGTGGTGGA